CTCACCCCATCTTCCATTCCAGTAACTACCATATACCCTTCTTGATGGATATTTGTTGAAGTATAGTTTCATACTGGCAGAGTGATTATTTCTGTCTCTTAGCCTTGGTAGGGTAAATAAAATCCAGTGTCAGAATAAATCTACTCAGAGTTTCTACTATTACCACAAATTATGAACAAATAGGTCAGGAAGTCAGTCTCCTGTATTTAAAAACTCTATTTCAGTCTTGTTGCCACTTAAAAACAGACTTTAAAGCACTTAAAAATAGTGCTCCCTAATAGATTTTGGTGACTGATTACAAAAGATTACAGAAGTTTCTCCCAACATTTTCTTTCCTAAAATTCTATTACATTCTTCAAGTTGTACACCATAATCACTTCTGTTTCTGAATTTTTCCTCCCTCATTAACATAAACTCACTTTCCCTCAAGCTTTCTATATACTCTTTCTAGCTGTTATTTTCATTTTGAACCCATGTAGATAGATCTTTAAATAAGCATAGTGCTGAAGGCAGACATTCTTTATTAGCTAAGCTAAACTATTGTTTAATTTAAAGAGGACTTCAGGTGATATTTTTAATTTAAATTTTAAGATTCAAAGATTATCTCAGGGTAATATATTTCAGGAGTTATCCAGACTCCAGGGATCCAAGAAGTCTGGATTCCATGAGAATTTGAAATCTCTTCTGCATTTCCTCCCTTTTCTTTATAAGAGCAGTTCCGAGAATGACAGTGAAAATGCTATATAGATATTGAGAGAGATACAATGTGTTCTATGGGAATTATTATTATTTTGGTAGTTAATTGCAAATTTTTTTTTTCATTTTCATCTTTTTTGTTGTTGTTGTTTAGTTCCCATTGACTTTGCTCCAGCAATAGAATGAAATGTTGCACAGCCCTTCACCATCTCCACTCTATTGGAGTCCATAGTTTGTGGCCACTGTGCATTTTGAATGCCTTCCAACCTCAGGGCCTCATCTTCCAAAACTATGTTGAACAATATTATTGTAGTCCATTGGATTTTCTCTCACTAATTTTCATAAGTTGATTACAAGCCTTTTCTTCCTAGTCTATCTTAGTGTGACCAGTTTACCATGGGTGACCCTGCTGACATTTGAAATGCCAATGATATGGCTTCCAGAATCATAGCAACAAGTAAGCCACCATAGTATGAAAAACTGACAGGTGAGTGGTTGTTCTTTACTTTAAGGAGCAATACAGAACAACACAGAAGCCAGATATCCTGGGTTTGAATCATGGATTTGAAACTCTCTAGCTATATGACTGAGGGTAGGGACTTAACTTCTGAGGCTCACTTTCTTGTCTCTGAAATATAGGGTTGCTTGAAGGAGTATAGAAGACCTAACTTGTGTCAGCCTGGGTGTTTCTGGCAGCAGCCTTGTGAAACGTCCTCTTTGTACCCATGCCTTCTTCCTGCCTCAGCTGCTCTCCTGTCTCTCTGCTAACTTGGGCATTGTCAGGCATCTGTCTACTATGGTTCCTAAACTGATTGCTGAGGCATACTAGGGTGCTGTAGCAAACTTACCAGAAGCAGACCAGGATATTTTAAAATCAAAAGAGAAACTGGTGATACTTGAAATCTGTCAGACATGGAGTCAGAAGTTCACACTTTCAAAAATGGATTGTGGTACATTTCTTTCATTGAAGTCCTATCTTTGCAAGGTTGTATTTTCTATAGCTGCTGTTCTAAAAAGCAGGTACTGTGTGCACACCAGTTTGCAACATGATGGTGGTGGTGTCCAATTTGATTCCAAGCTTTGAGAACTAGTGCAGTCACCAATGGGTACAGAATATCCCAGTAAGTAACTGATTATATAAGAATGAAATCATTTTTTTTTTCCAATTTATGTGTATTATTTTTTCATATGGTTACTAAGTTGTTGTTATCAGGAATTGTTGAGTCAGTTTAGCAACTCCCTGCAACAGAATAGCACTGCCCAATAGGGTTTTCTAGATTGTAATCTTTACCAGAGAAGATTGCCATGTCTTTCTTCCAGGGAGCCATTGTTTGTGTTCAAATTGCTAAGCCTTTGCTTAGCAGTCCAATACTTAACTGACATGAATAATCACTGAGTTATGTGGATCTTAACTTTTAGTAAGTGGTATCTCTTAGGTATTTTTTAGGAGTGCTATGAACTGGAAAATTTGGGAACTTTCTGCTCCGAGGATGTTTAACCTAGAACAGACAACAGTGATATAGATGAAGATGCAGATTTTGTAGCAGACTCATAATAATAACAAATGTTAAAACAGTCAAGGCTGCATTTTGTACATAAACATGCTATTCACCAGGCTCTCACTTCTTTTATTAGCTAATTCACACTTATTATCAAAATTCATTTTAAGTATAAGGTCCTCGAGGAAGACTTCCATGATTTATAACTCTTCTATCTCCATTCTCAGAGCCATCTAAATAAAGGTGACTCATCTAGGTTTTCAGAAACTCTCTGCTTACTCATTCATGGTGTTGTTGTTAAATTAATTTTGACTCATATCAACCCCATGTGACAGAGTTGAACTGCCTATAGCATTTTCTAAGGAGCTCTGGTGCACAGTGCCTAAGGCATTTGACTATTAACCAGAAGGTTAGTAGTTCAAACCTACCAGCTGCTCCACAGAAAGAAAATGGGGCAATTTACTTCCATAAAGATTTACCTCCTCGGAAATCCAATAGGGGTCACTATGAATTGGAATTGATTCGATGGTAGTGGGTTTCTTGGCTGTAATCTTTATAGGAGCAAACCGCTAGGTCTTCTCTTCTGCAGAGTTGCTGGGTGGGTTTGAACTGCCAATATTTTGGTTGGTAGCGGGCACTTAACCATTGCACCACCAAACCAAAAAAAAAAAAAAACCAACTCACAGAGACTCCTCCTTAGGTTTCTGAGGTGGTATCGCTATGTAAGTAGATTGTCCAGTCTTCCTTCTGTGGAGTGGCTGGTGGGTTTGAACCACTAGCCTTCTGGTTAGCAGTCAAATGCCTTAGGCACTACACCACCAGAGCTCCCATTGCACCACCAAGGCTTCTTTAACCATCATGTTCTTCTTAGGGGCGGTCAAGTCGGTTCGACTCATAGCGACCCTGTGTACAACGGAACAAAACACTGCCTGATCTTATGCCATCCTCACAATCTGCTTTACTTGAGCCCATCATTGCAGCCACTATGTCAGTTTATCTTGTTGAGATGGATCCATACCTTTTTTCACTGACTCTCTACTTCACCAAGCATGATAACTTTCTTCAGGGACTGGTCCCTTCTGATAGCATGACAAAGTATGTAAGATGAGGTCTGGCCATTTTCTCTTCTAAGAAGTATTCTTGCTGTCACATATTTTTCCAGGAGAGTGGCTAGTGAGTTCCAATCACTGACCTTTGGTTAGCAGCCAAGCAGTTTAACTACTGTGCCATGAGGGCTCCTTGCAACACTTATCCTCATTAATTCAAACTCACTGCCATCAAGTTGATTCTGAATCATAGTGACCCCCACTGGGTTTCCAAGGCTGTATATCTTTATGGAAACAGACTGTTCCATCTTTCTTCCACAGAGTGGCTGTGGGGTTCGAACCACCTACCTTTTGCTTAGCAGCCAAATACCTTAACCACTACACCGTAAGAGCTCCTTAACATTTACCCTAAGACCTAGTAATTCCAGTCTTAAGTATTTACTAAAGAGAAATGAAAACATGTACACACAAATAATTTTTTTAAGAAAATAATGGTTATAACAGCTTTATTCATAACTGTCAAATGCTGGAAACAATCCAAATGTCCATCAACAGGTAAATGGATAAACAAATTGTGGTATACCTATACAATGGAATATTATTAACAATAGGGAGGAAGGGATTAATGATAAGCCAACAACATGAATGAATCTCAAAATATGCTAAGCTGAAGAAGTCAAACTCAAAAGTATCAACTGCATGAAGTTATGTAATGTTCTATCATGCTGAGATAATAGAAACCATAATAGTCTTGCCTGGCAAGGGGGTGGTTATTGACTGGGAAGTGTCATGAGGAAACTCTCTGGGGTGTTGAAGATGTGTTAGATCTTGACTGGAGTTGTGGTTACATGGGTGAGTATATTTGTCAAACTTCATGGACTGTAAGTTTAAAATCTTTGTATTTTGTTGAACAGAATTTCAAATTCTCATGGAATCCAGACTTTCTGGAGCCATTGAGGTCATCTCTTGAAACTGTTACCCTGAAGAAATCTTTAAACTTTGAACTGAAACTATTCCTTGGAGTTATCTTTGAACCAAATAATATTTACCCTAATTAGAAAAGAATGCTTATCTTAAGCACTACACTCTTTTAAAAAGAATTATCTGTATGCGATCAAATTGACAATTTGAAGATAAGATGATTGGGGCTGGGCACCTTAGAGTTTGTGTTGATGGTGAAATAGTTTGGAAAAGGCTGTCGATAAAGGTGGCACAACTTGAAGAATGAACCAATGTTAATTAATTGTATATGTAGAAATTGTTTAAGTGATGTATTCTTTGTTGTGCATATTTTCACACACAAAAAATTAAAAATCTGTGCATTTTACTCTATATAAAGTAAACTTCTTTTTTTAAAAAAAGGTATTACAGGGTGATTTAACTCTATGTGGTTGCTGGAAATAGGGGTCACGCTATTTTTCATGAAGAAAAATACTACAGAGTATTCTGCAAGGGGTTTTTTTTTTTTCCACGTGGGGCGGGGAAGGAGCGTCCAAGTACCAGAAACCTTAACAAGTCCTGGGAAAGCGTTCCTACGTTTTACAGCGCGAGGCTAGGATCCTGAGATGGCGGGTAGCAAAAAGTAGTCAGACTCCTGGGAACCCCCTAGTCCAGCCCCAACTCTCCCTAGGGTTCCCACCGCCCCTGCCGTTCCCAGAGCCGCAGCCGCGAAGCTCGAGCCTGGACGGGCGGGAGCTCGCCGGCGTCGCGCTGACGTCACGCGCGTGCTGACGTTGCTGGTGGCCGCGGCCTCTGAAGCGGGCTGGGGCTCGGGGGGCGCCGAGTTTGACTAGTTTGGGGGTAGTCGGGAGCTTGGCGTCGCTCCTGCCGCCCGCTGCGGCGAGGGAGCCGCGCGTCGGCCGGGCCGAGCGCGTCCGGCCCGCTCCGGCTGGGGCCCACACTGGCAGCTGGGTAGCACTCGGCAGAAGTTGGCCCCTCGCGGGCGGGCGGCGGCGGCGGCGGCGGCGGCCATGGAGCCCCGCAGCATGGAGTACTTCAGCGCCCAGGTGCAGCAAAAGGACGTCGGCGGCCGGCTGCAGGTCGGCCAAGAGCTGCTGCTGTACCTCGGCACCCCTGGCGCCATTCCGGACCTGGAGGAGGACCTGGGCCACCTCGGGAAGACGATTGACGCGCTCACTGGCTGGGTGGGCTCCAGCAACTACCGGGTAAGCGGCGGCGCGCCCGGACCGGGCACGCCCTCCCTGGCCGGCCCTTTAATCCCTAACTTGAGCGTCCCAGGCGAGCGCCTGGGATGCTTCCCGAGCCGCTCATGCATTGTAAAGGGGAAACCTACGGACACCGGGATACCCCAGCCGCGCCTCCGCTGGTGAGCCGGCCTCTCCGGACGCCAGCGAGGACTTTCTTCCCACCGCGATCAAGTTTTTCCACAATTGTGAAAAACAATTGTGACAAATCTAGCGGCTCCATTTACACTTTGCGGAGTTACTTGGGACTAGGACACAATGTTTATCAGTTTACAAGATATCTGATAACTTACATAAAATAAAGTGTTCGAAGACTTTTTACATTTGTACACAGATGTGTAAACACTACCCGGACTAAGACATAAAGCACCATTTTTAAGTCGAAAAGGTGATAATTATGAATGATAATCCTCTGCTAATTAATGATTTTTATCCTACTTAAGACCTCGTTTCTTTTTTTTCTTTTATAATATTTATACCTGGGAGATTGTGTTCTTCATCTCAGGCACCTTTAGGATTAAATCTGGTCCCTGATCGCATTTGCTGTTCTTCTCTCTAATGCAAAGATGCTGACTTCATGCCGTTATTTATGTCCTTTTAGTGTATTGCCGACAGAAAGCAGTTGAACGCTAATTTTATATTGCCGCAATTGAGGAGTGATGGGATTTGAAACCATGTCATAGCCGATTTGACTGATGCCGAAAATAAATAAAAGGATGAGATAAAGGAAGGAATTAGTGTTTCTGGAGTAGGTAGTAGACTGGCTTTATTGCAGCCACGTTGGGAACCGAGGTAAAAATTCTGTGATTAGTATATACTGTAGTTAACAGTTACTTTTGTTTCTAGTCTTCTGGTGGCAGTGTTGCTTTAAAATGTTGGCTTGAGCCTCCTGTGACTGGAGAGATTATTCTTAGCAGTATATCTCTGTAACCCAGGGAATAAATAGGCTGTTCTTTGAAAGCAGAGGCTGTCCTTTGAATGTAGAAAATAAAGGCAAACTCTAGAATCATTATGCAGATTTAATGGTGAACCTTACATGAGTTTTGGAAGGGTTTGACTTTTTATTTGCAAGGAAAATAAACAGTTTGAGTTAACTTCCTTGAGCTTTATTACATAAAATATTTATTTTTTGAAAGCTTGGAAAAAGTTAATATTTAATAATATATTATTACCATTTGGGGAATTAATCGTATTTCCTTGGAAAAAAACAGCTAAATTAGTATACCCTACAAGAAGGGCATGTACACACTTTAGACTCCAGATAGTTGATTTTATGCTGTCACATAGGCTACTGTAGATAATCAACTCTTTGATGAAGTTTGGCCTCCCTTCCTAAGTAAAGGCTGATGTACTGCCTTCTACTGCACTGGGGGCAGTGAATTAATTGGCTTTGGGCCAGTTAATTCACCGTCAGTGAATTATGATACCTGGGCAGTCCTATCTCTTGAAACACATTCTTGGCTTTTATGATACCACAGTATCCCAATTTTTCTTTAATGTTCTAAGTAGTACTTCCACTCAGTACTGTGTTTTTCCTTTAGCTGTTGTTGGTAGGTGCCATATAGTTGATTTACACCTTACAGTGACCCCATGTGACAAAGTAGAACTGCCCCATAGGGTTTTCTAGGCAGTAATCTTTAAGGAAGCAGTGCCAGGTCCTTATCCATCAGTGGTATGTCCTGGATTCTGATCTCTCTTTACTATACATTCTCTCACTAGATTATGTAGCCTGACACAATTTCAGCAATCAGAAGAGAACTGCCACAGGCTCCCTCCATCTTATCTACATACTTCCTTGTAGCTGTGCCCATATTTCCATCTTCTTTCCTGCAAAAATGAATGAATGGTCTGTGTTCTTTACTAATGCCAGTCTCTCTACCTGTGTATTAGATTCCATCTCCTCTTGTCTACTCAAGGACATCCATCAATACTGCACTCTCCTTCCTGAATCATTAGTTCTCTCCTTTCTGTTAAATTCTATAATAGAAAAACTCTTTTCTGACATTCTGAAGGAGACCATATTCTTACTAGTCAATTAGTTCTATAAACTAAGTTACCCAACTAAACAACAAAAAAAACCAAACCCATTGATTGTTATTAAGTTGATTCCAACTCATAGCAACCCTATGGGACAGAGTAGAACTGTGCCATAGGGTTTCCAAAAATGTAATCTTTACGAGAGCATACTGCCTCATCTTTCTTCTACAGAGTGGCTGGTGGGTTCAAACTATTGAGCTTTCAGTTAACAGTCAAGTGATACTACTATGCCATCAGGACTCAATAGTTACCCAATTAGGTTAACATTTTATTCAAAATACAATAAAATATATTTAACTTTTATTTTTAATGTCCTATAGAATTTTTGAACATAAAGAATTGTACTTAAATTTTAAATAGTGCCTAAGGCACTTGACTGCTAACCAAAAGGCTGGTGGTTCACACCCACCAGCCACTCCTGGGAAGGAAGGTTGGGCAATCTACTTCCGTAGTGATACCGCCTCAGAAACCCAAGGAGGGGTCGCTATGAGTCGGATCCAACTAGATGGCACATAACAGCAACAACTATATATATATATATATATATATATATATATATATATATGGCTTTGGAAGTGTTTCAGAATTTGAAAGTCTTAACTTTCAGAGTATAAAAAATTCATTGATTTAACAAATAATGAGTGCTTTTTATGCCCTGGACATTGTTCTAGGTGCAGAGGGTCCATTAGTGACCAGGACAACCAAGGCTCATTCATTTAGTCTCCTTCAGATTTTTACTGAGGCTCTGTTATGTGCAGGCATTCACTTCTCCAGCCACTGCGGATCCAAGAGTGAAAAAAAAAAAAAAAAGACAAATCACTGACTTGTGAACTTAGATTCTAGCTGGGTGAGAGAAATAAACAAGATAAATTAGCAAAATTTATAATGTTAGATGGTGATAATACTTTGAAGACTAATAAAGCAGTAAAAAGAATAAGGAATGTTGGAAATTTAAATAGTTGATATTGAAGACTTACCTGAGAGAGGAACTAAGTAATTTGGGAGAGTGAGATCCTGGCTGTCATGGAGATCATATTAGAAAGTAGTAGACAGGAGTGCAAATTAGATAATTTCAGGTAACAAGTATTTGTGAAAGAATGAGGGTTAGAATGGATCCTGTCTTGGGTGGTCAAGGAAGTTAGATGACATTTGAGTACAGACATACTCCTATAGGTTTGCTGTGAGTTGGAATCTACTTAACCGTTAAGTAGTGTTAGATTATTTGAGGAACTGTGCCAGGCTGTTTTTCAAAGTAGCTGTACCATTTTATATTCCTGCCAGCAGTGTGGGGGGGTTCTGATGTCTCCACAAATCTTTCTACAGTTGTTACTATCTTTTATTCTAATCATTCTCAGGCATGTGAAGTGGCATAGAATTGTGGTTTTGTTAGCATTTCCCTCATGACCAGTGATGTTGAACATCTTTTCATGTGCTTATTGACCCTTGTTTATCTTTGGAGAAATGTCTGTTCAGGTCCTTTATCCATTTTCAGTCGTGTTATGTCTCTTTATTAGTAAGTATAAGAGTTTTTCATATATTCTAGTTATCAGTCCCATATCAGATAATATAATTTGAAAATATCTTCTTCTATTCTGTGGATCGTCTTTGCACTTTCTTGATAATGTCTTTTGAAGCACAAAAGATTTTAATTTTAATGTAGTCAAATTGTATTCTTTTTTCTTTTGTTGCCTTGTGCTTTTGGTGTCATGTCTACTAAGAAAGCATTGCCAAGACCAGGAAGAGTTATGTCTGTGTTTTCTTATAAGAGTTTTTTTTTTTTTTTTTTTTTAAATAACTTTAGCTCTTAAATTTAGGTCTTTGATCAATTTTGAATTAACTAAAATTTTTCTTGAGGTGGTGCGTTAAGGTACAACTTTATTCTTTTTCATGTGAATATCCAGTTTTCCCAACACTGTCTTTTGAAAACATTCTTTCTTTCCCCATGGAATGGTCTTGGCACCCTTATCGAAAATCATGGACAAATGAGTTTATTTCTACACCCTAAATTCTATTTCATTAATATATATATTTATATATATAACAAACATCCTGATCAATGAAGAAATTGAAGTTGTCAGTGATTTCATTCTACTTTGATCAGTAATCAATGTCCATAGAAGCAGCAATCATGAAATAAAACAACATATTGGGCAAATTTGCTGCAAAAGACTTAAGTGTTAAGAAGCAAAGATACCACTGACAACTAAGGTGTGTCATGTTTTCAAAAGCTGGACAATGAAGAAGGAAGACAGTAGAAGAATTGATGCAGTTGAGTTGTAGGGTTGGTGAAAAATACTGAATATACAGGGGCCTGTCAGAAGAACAAATAAGTCAGTCTTAGGAGAATTACGATTGGGATGTTCCTTACAAGCAAGGATGATAAGATTTCAACTTGTTTACCTTGGATACCTTATCAGGAAGGACAGATCATTAGGAAAGGAGTACCACATTTGGTAAAGTGGACGGTCAGCAAAAACTAGGGAAACCTTCAGTGGGTTGGATTTACACAGTAGATACAACAAGGGACTCAGACATACCAATTATTATGAAAATAGTACAGGGCCAGGTAATGTTACCTTAGGTTATACATAAGGTCACTATGAGTTACATTGGACTCAACAGCAGTTAACAAAAACGATGTATATGTTTATCCTTATGCCAGCATCATGCTGTTTTGATTACTGTTGCATCAGTAAGTCTGGAACTTGTGAAGTGTGAGTCTTCCAACTATTCTGTTCTTTTTAAAGATTGTTACAGATATTCTGTGTCCTTTGCTTTTCCATATGAATTTCAATGTCAGCTTATCAGTTTCTGAAGAGAAGCCAAATGAATTCTGATAGGATTTGCTTGAATTTGTGCATTAATTTGGGGGAGTACTACTGTCTTAATAATATTGTCTTCTGATCTATTAACATGGGATATTTTTACATTTATTTAGATTTTGCTTATTTCTTTCAATAATGTTTGTAGTTTTATAGTTTTCAGACTATAAAACTTCATTTGTTAAAGTTATTACTAAGTATTTTATTTTTGATGCTGTCTTAAATGGACTTTTTTTTTAAATTTCATTTTTGGATTGTTTGCTGCAAGTGTATAAAATAAAATTCATTTTTATATATTGATCTTGCATCCTACAACCTTGATGGACTGGTTTATTGGTTCTAATCGTGTTTTAGTGAATTCCTCAGTGTTTTCTGTATATAGTGATTTCTTGTTGTTTTATTTCCTTTCCATCTGAATGCCTTTTCTTTTCATGCCTAATGGCATTGGCTAAACCTCCAGTATAGTGTTGAATAGAAGTGATAAGGTTAGGCATCCTTGTCTTGTTCCTGATTTTTGTAGGAAAGCATCCAGTCTTTCACTGTTAATTATGTTAGTTGTTTTTTTGTGGATGCCATTTATTAAGTTGTGGAAGTTTTCTTTTTTCCTAGTTCGTTGAGTGTTTTTAATCATGAAAGGGTGTTGGATTTTTGTCAAATGCTTTTTCTCTATCTATTAAGATTATCATGTGGTTTTTGTTGTTTATTTTATTGATGTATTATATTACATTAATTTATTTTTAATATTCAACCAACCTTGAATTTCTGGGATAAATCTCACTTGTTCATGGTGTATAATTATTTTTACATGTTTTGGGATTTATTTTGTAGTGATTTGTTGATAATGTTTGTGTCTTTTCGTAAGTGATACTGGTTTGTATTTTTCTTGTGTCCCTTTGGTATTGGCATAATAGTGGCCTCAGATTTCTTTTCTTTTTTTTTTTTTTTAATTGTGATTTGGGTGAAGATTTACAGAGCAAATATACTTTTCGTACAGCAGTTCACATATACTTTGTCTCATGTCATTGAGCACAGTTTAC